CACCACGGACACAAGGCCACTGCCCCTCACCTCTCCACCACGGACACAAGGCCACTGCCCCTCACCTCTCCACCACGGACACAAGGCCACTGCCCTCACCTCTCCACCACGGACACAAGGCCACTGCCCTCAGCTCTCCACCACGGGCACAAGGCCACTGCCCTCAGCTCTCCACCATGGACACAAGGTCACTGCCCTCACCTTTCCACCCCCGACACAAGGCCCTTCTCAGAGTAGACAAAGCTCATTCACAGGACTGGGGGACACGGGAGGAAGATTAAAGTTCTGGGAAACAATTGTACATATACGGCGGGTATTACGAGTTCACTACTATAGGCACCTCACAAAATCCCTTTAGTATGAAAAAGAAAAACGAGAAATTCACCTATGTGGTAAAAGAAACCACAATTCACCTAAACTTTCCTAAATCAATACGCATCAATCACCCTTTTCAACAGTTAAGAAAGGGTTCAGGCTTGGTTCTCCAGGCAACACGAGCCGTCCAGGTGCTAAGCGGGAGGCCCACGTGGAGGGGCCCAAATGTCCCCCAGCACTTCTCAATCCAACTGTAACTAATGACAGTCTCTGAACGCTCAACCCCCAATTTTCCCCACCTGTGAAAATGGGCGTTAAGACAGATGCCATTTCAAAGGAGATGATCATGTGGTGCACAGGTACCACCTTTTAAAGCAGGCTATGTTTTTGTTTTAATACAATAATAAGAAGAAACATTCTTAATCTTTTGGGATTTTTTTCTTATCTGCGAGGAGTTTAAAAAACTTCTTAGTTGTTTGGAATTAGTGAACTTCTCACAAACTGTTATTTTAAGAAAATCACAAATAACATATTTTTAAAAATCCTTTAATACAATACAATTTCCATGATAAATTAAGGTTTTAACCACCCAGCCCAAAAAAGAGATGTAGAAATTGTGTCTGCTTTTTTATTCACGATGGATTTCTGGATTAGAGATTTGCTCTTCTTTCTTTTAACACCTGCTTGCCTCAATTTCCTGCTGTCCTTTGAAGTAGCAAACAACCAGCTCAGCCCTAGTTGCAGGTGTTGTGGGCAGGGACAAAGGCTCAGCTTCTGCTCAAACAACGCTGAGGTGTATACACCCCTTGGTTCTAAGATATGCCAGTCTGCCCCAGTATTATATCTACTATTTTTAACTTTGCAAAACAGTTTTTAGCAATTATCTCATTTTACCCTCATAATACCCTTTAAGTAAAGGGGGAGAGAAAAAGGAAAGAATAAGCTAAATATAAAAAACAAGACATTGATTCCTTCAGAAAAGAGAAAAGGACAGATAAAATGTTAGAATTTTTACAATGAGGGCAAGTAACATTAACCCAGAATATGAGCTTTTTTGGGCCAGGAGGGTAAATTTTAAGAAATAAAAGAGTTCTTGTGTTTTAAGATTGAGGAATTGCCCGTATCAGTTCAGATACCAGCCGAGAGACACTTGTGCATTCTCTTTATTGGTGAACAGCCTCACTGATGCTCTTTGACATCTTTAAAGACAAGTAAATATGTGAGATGCTCGAAGTGTAAATTTGTAATTTTAATTACAAGGACTATAAACCTGGCACGGTAAGTCTACAGGAATAGGTCAGACATGATGAGCGATGCGTTTGCCTGTGACCAGGCTTCTCCCTCGTTTACAACGGCCAACTTCCAGATCTGTGATGTCATCAGAAAGGGACTACTGGGTTAATTTCACTTTTAAATGTGAACAATGTTATTGCTGTCTAAGTGCTTCATCAGCTTGCTGGCATTTGCAGGAGAAAGAAATTTTAATAGCAACATGTGTCCAAGAGAGTTGTAAACTTTTAGGAAGGAGGGTGGATTAAGAGTGATACAAATCCTAGACGTCTGGAGTAAACTACTCGTGGAAACACTGAGCTAATTAACTAATATTGTTCCAGGGAGAAGAGCAACAATCGAAACCCAGTGAAAAGTTCAGCTGCCACCTGGAGTCACCTGTGCTGCTGTTCAGGCTGCACTTAGCGCAGAAGTAACCACCAAAATAACCAAAGTGGGCGTCCTGGGTCACACTGGCTTACGGCGGGAATGCCCCCCCAGGCTAATCCAATAGACTTCCGTTCTTGATTATTTTCAGAAAAGAGGCAAACAAACAAAAAAAGTAATAGTTTAGAAGTTGGAATGTGTTTATTCTTTTGAGAAATTCAGTTTTCTTTAAAACATCTTACAAATGTGCTTGCTGATTAATGTTGAATTATGTGGAATAAATACAATGCAAGTCTTATTGTTCTGACTGCTAGAGGCATAACGGTGATTTTTATTATTTCGTATCGGCCACAATAGCCTCTGATTATTACTAAGAACTCGTTTCCAGATCTTTCCACGGCCACTTCTTTTGACTCTCCAGGAAGAGATACTATTAGATGCACCACCGGCCTTGGAGCCACTGAAGTAGTTGACTAAGTTGAACATCATCTCGCCCTTCTGTTGTAACCACGAGATCCCTGGATCTGCCATATTTCTGCTGGTACCATTTAAATGGGCCCTTTTTTTTATTTTTATTTTTTCTTGGAAAGCGGTTACTGAGATCATGTGCTGCCCCCTAATGGAGATATGTCAAACTGCACAGTGAAAAAGAAAACTGGAGTATGTAAGTCTGTGCACTTGTTCGTTCTTTTTTGATTCATCCTGTTAACAAATATTTATTGTCCATAATGTGTCAGGCAAGGTGAGAAGGACTGGTAATACAAAGACAAATTAGAGCTTCTGTGCTCAAAACATGCTGTAGAATATCAGATAAGATACCCACAGGAATGCTTCACTTGGGAACTGTCCATCTGAGAGCATGTTGGACACCTGGAAGATGTCATGCCAAGGAGAAAAAGTGCCCCAACTTCCCTCCACTAGCAGATGCTGGGACTTGTCTGGTAAGGTCATCGGGTATTGTGGCCATTTTGGTTTTCGCAATTTTGCTGGATTTTTATGGACAGACATGTCATTTATTGTGTCACCTGTTAACACTCTGCAGATATTGTGTTCTTTAAAAATCAAAGGTTTGTGACAATGCCGTGGCAAGCAAGTCCACTGGAGCCATGTCCCCAGCAGGACGTGCTCGCTCTGTGTCCAGAAGCACAGGCTTGAAGGACGTGAGGACCCGAGGGGTGGTGAGGGGAGTGCGTCATGCCAGGGAGAGGGCCGGCACACGCAAGGGCTCCAGGGCAGGAGGCTGCCTGCTGTGTCTGTGGAGGTGCATGGACGGCTGAGCAGCTGGAGCAGTGGAAGGAGGACAGAGGACACGGGAAGAACGGGCAGAGGCGTCACGAGTTTACATCACGCAGGGCTTCGGCTCTCACTCTAATAACGTGAAGCCCTCAGACCATTGATTTTTAATGAGTGTCCTGCGGCACACCGTGTGCCTTAAAAAACTTTAAAGATCAGTAAATTATTTTCAAAAGAAGTTCAAAGTGCACTGTTTTTTTGATCAGCATAATTTAAGTGTGTCACAGAAGTTTAACTGTAGGTTCAAGTGTGTCATGAGATGAAAATGGTTGAAAACCATTGTGATGGACACACACACGCCTATATTTTCTAAGTACTATTTAGTATTTAGATTTCTTCATTGAACAACTATCAATTTTTATCCTAAGTTGCCAGTGTTTGGTATTATCCTCCCTTATGTTTTTCCATTTGATGGGCGCAAAATGGGATCTTGTATTAATAATTTGCCCTTTTCTGATTTCAAGCAAGTTTGAACATCTCTTCATATTCTGCTTAACCATTTGGGCTCTGCTTCTGTAAATTACTATTTCATTTGACTGCTTTAGGATTTGTCTTTTTTTTTTTTTACTATTATGTAATTTTTAAAAAGAATACATATCTTCTACCAGCCTATTAACTATGTCTAATCCATACTTTGTTGAAGAGAAATGCTAAATTTTACTGTAGTTATTCAAAATGGTTTATTTTTTGATTTATGGTTTTCATTTTGAGAACTGATTTAAGGAATCTTTCCTGGGTTGGGGCAGCAACCAGCCAGAAGAGTGCTGGCCCCAGGTGGCCAGACATTTGGAACTGTGGAGCTCTAGGAGAGGAAGCGGTTCAGAAGATGGTAGACCCGCTCACAAGTGCGTCTGGCTGTTTGTGATGGAGCTAGGAAAAGCTAGAGGGGGGTTCCTGGAACTCAAGGAAAAGCCAATGAGAACAAGCACAGAACAGAGGCAGTGGCAGGAATGGGGAACCGCTGTCCACTGGACTCAGATTCGAGGCGGCTGAGAAGCTGCTTTGAGGACAAGTGTGCTGGACATGAGCAGGGCGGGCTTCAGCCGGAGTCCCGCTCCCATTCAGCTCCAGCAGACTTTCCCTGGAAAGAAATCCCATAAATGTGCGGATTGTGGGGAAAGC